TGGCAATATGTATTTGTAGATGCCAGAGAAAGGAATGAAAAGATATCTCGGTGACTGCTGAGTTAGGTTTAAGGTATTTATCGGAGTAAAAATACGACAATGCACATTTTTACTCTGATGAATACCTTGAAGTTTCTTGACCAATCTAACGCAGCAGCCACCGAGAGATCTTTTCATCCCTTTCTCTGGCACCTACAAAGAAATATCGTCAGTCATTTACGTTTAGCACAATTGCTCTCCGAAGTAAGTGACCCCGGGCGTAAACCAGACCCTTGCCGTTCAGCTCACCTTTTTGACAATGCCTTCAAATCGGCACTAAATTTATTTATTATTATCATTAAATGTTAAAAAAATAGTGCCCCTTTTGATTGGTGACAGTATCAAGGATCAGAATTTGTGATAGCACAAAGTTCTTGGATGTTCGGCTCTTCTCAACACAATTGCTCCCCGAAGTAAGGGACCCCAGGCGTAAACCATATCCTTGCCGAGCTGAACATCTAAGAACATCTCGGTAGCTGCTACGTTAGGTGGGTCAAGAAGCTTTAAGGTATTCATTGGAGTAAAAATACAACAAAGCAATGCCTTTTTGCCAATGCCTCCAAATGGAAACCAAATTTATCAGTTATTATCATCAGCATTAAATGGTAAAAATAGTGTCCTTTTTTGATTGGCGACAGTATGAAGGATCGGAATTTGTGATGTCTCAAAGTTCCTGGATTTTCGGCTCTTCTCTTCAACACGATCGCTCCCCGGAGCAAGGGAATCCGGGCGTAAACCATACCCTTACCGAACTTTCTGCAGTGCAAGTCTGTAACCGACTGCTATCGTTAAGGTGCCATATTTCCCGCCTCGGGGCTCGAATCACTCGAGGTCACTCACCTTTCCCAAGGATGCGCCTGTTGATAGGCCATTTCGGCCTCGCACAGATGCGCTGGCCTTCAGCCACTCCAAGGACTTTTGTTAAAACACACTGGCGTCCAGACGGTCGCCGTCGACCACTCCTAGCATAACATGGCGCACGATAATTCAGCCGTGGCCATCAACGACGCCCATCGAGCAGCCCAAGGAGTGGACGCAGGACGGTAACTTACACGCGAATCGGTTTATGGTGGGGCAGACTTTCACAGCGTCTGCCGCACTCGCTCCTCCCTCACCCACGAAGATCCGAGGGCAAGACAACGTCAAGGCGACCGCGCATGGGCTGAGTTGCAGGGGCTGACGCGGTGGGAAAGCCTACGTCTGGGCATGTCACAAGGCCCAGTTGTGGTGGGCTCGAGCGGGTTCTGAGCAGTCGGATTAACGCGTGCCGTGAGCCAAGTCGACCCCTTTTGGTCCAGCGCACTTACATCCCAACCGACTACAACGTACACACCGTTTGGACAGGAGCAATCTTGACCTAGCTCCGGGGCAAGTGCAAAAGCAGTTGAAACCAGGAAAACCCTCCACCATGCGTGACGTAACCCCGCGATCACGGGCCTTCCCCCTCCAGCGATCACCGCTGTCTGAGCCAACAACTCAGGGTTCTGTGCAGAATGAAAACTTCATTGGTATGTCTTTCCTCCCTCTTTGTTAATAAGGGACTGGACCCGATGAATGTGGCGCTCCAGCTACGTCCCCTACGCGAGCCGCCATCAGTCCTTGAAGAATGCTTCACTGTTTTCCGAGCAGTCGAAATGGGGAGCTGACGTGAGAGTTCTCACTGGCCAAATCACAAATCAGGTAAAACGGATTTAGTTGGACAAGCTTTACTGTTGTGAAAGAGTGTACAGGAAGCCTAGCAAGCGAATTCCGCAAACTGTATTTTCAGGCGTGTTTTGTGTGTGTGTGTGTGTGTGTGTGTGTGTGTGTGTGCGTGCGTGCGTGCGTGCGTGTGTGCAGGGGCCATGCTAATCTTCTCTGCGGGGTGTAGGGGTGTCAGCGGTGGGTTCACGCGAAGGTCGTAGTGGTCGCTCACTTGCTTGCAGGTGAGACTACGCCTAGCGTCCACTTGCTGGCACTCAACTCTCACCTGTGGCTCCACGTAGCTGGGCTCTGCTCAGCGGCCACACCCCGGGCAACCGTCTCGACCGGCGGGCTAAACCAGGTGAGGGCGGTTACTCCCTGTGCGCGTTGTGCCGCGTGCACAGGTGACTGCGGACTCCGTGGACGGTTGGTCGGATGGAACACCGCGTCGGCGCCGTCGTGGCGAGGCTCTGTCTGACACACCGCTGGTCAGCCGGTTGGTGGTGGAACGTCGCATCGACATCGTCTAGACGAGGCTCCGCCTGGTACGCCGTTGATCAGCCGGTGGGATGGATCTCCGAATTGGCACCGTCGACACGCGCCCATCTGGTGCACCGTAGGAGACCGCAGGCTTGCGGCAATGCCGTAAGCCATTGGCAAATTCGAGTCGTTCTTCCACTGCCAAAAAAACTCGTGGCCCACAGTGGAGTTCGGCCGCGCCGGCACATCAAGCAGCCCCTATTCAGGGGTCAGGGCACTGCTTCCTTCGGGGGGGGCTGGAAAAGCTGGCCTAAAAATTGCTGGGGAACCACGTCGTCTGCTGGCGCACCGTGGTCGCAGACGCAAAACTCACGGTCGAAACAATCAAACTCGTAACAACAACAACAACCATACTCATTCTCCTCATCCTGCCTCTTCTACCTCTACCTCCGTCTATTCTTCTGCCTATTCTTCTCCTTCGTCATCTTCTTTTCCACCTCCTTCCCATCGCCCCACTCGTTTTCCCCAGACTGACAGGGTGAGCCCGCTCACTCTGGCAGCCTGGAATGTTCGTTCCCTTTTAGACAATCCGAGGAGCAACCGACCGGAACGGAGGACGGCGCTAGTGGCACGAGAACTGGCGCGCTACAAGGTGGACATCGCCGCACTCAGCGAGACCCGATTCTCCGAACAAGGCCAACTGGAGGAGGTGGGTGCCGGTTATACCTTCTTCTGGAGTGGCCGACCCAGGGCAGAGCGACGAGACGCGGGCGTCGCCTTCGCCATCAGGACCGACATCGTGGGACGACTGCCTTGTTTGCCGCAGGGCATCAATGATCGCCTGATGAGCCTCCGCCTGCCTCTCTGGGGAGGCAAATTCGCCACCATCATCAGCGCCTACGCTCCGACGATGACCAACCCCGACGCCGTCAGAGACAAATTCTACGAGGACCTGCACGCCCTCTTGGCGACTGTGTCGAAGGCGGACAAGTTGATTGTCCTTGGCGACTTCAACGCCCGCGTCGGCACAGACCATACTGCCTGGAGGGGAGTGCTGGGTCCCCACGGTCTCCGCGGCTCCAACGACAACGGCCTGCTTCTCCTCCGCACCTGCGCAGAACACCGCCTCACCCTGACGAATACCTTCTTCTGTCTGCCGGAGCGAGAGAAGGCCACCTGGAGGCATCCTCGGTCGCGTCAGTGGCACCTGCTGGACTATGTCCTCGTCCGGAGGCGAGATCAGCGGGACGTGCTGGTGACGAAGGCGATCGCGGGTGCTGACGGGTGGACCGACCATCGCCTCGTCATCTCGAAGATGCGTATTCGCCTACAGCCTCGCAGGAGACCACAAGGTAAGCGACCCCCAGGTAAGCTGAATGTTGCTTTGTTGTCTTTGCCTGCTCACCGTCTCCATTTCAGCAATGAGCTAGCTCAACGGCTAGACAACCTTCCTATCGCTGCCGCCGCCGACGACGCCGCCGCCGCTGCCGAGAACGCCTCCGTGGAGAACCGCTGGTGTCAACTGCGTGACACAGTCCAGTCGACGGCGCTCGCCGTCCTCGGTCGCGCTCCCCGCCAACACCAGGACTGGAACAGGGCCTTCTGCCGGAAAGCCAATGCGGCATCCGTCGTCATCGTGGGACCACGGATATGATCTTCGCAGCCCTCCAACTTCAGGAGAAGTGCCAGGAGATGCGGACCCACCTGTACTCTACCTTCGTGGACCTGACGAAAGCCTTCGACACGGTGAATCGTGAAGGACTGTGGAAGATTATGCAGAAATTCGGCTGTCCGGAGCGATTCACTCAGATGGTGCGTCAGCTGCACGACGGTATGATGGCGCGAGTCACGGACAACGGTGCTGTCTCAGAGGCATTCGCAGTGACCAACGGAGTGAAGCAGGGCTGTGTGCTGGCGCCTACCCTCTTCAGTCGCATGTTCTCTGCCATGCTGATGGACGCCTACCGCGACGAACGCCCTGGAATCCGCATCGCCTATAGAACGGACGGTCATCTCCTGAATCGCCGGCGCATGAACTTCCAATCGCGTGTATCCACAGCCACCGTGCACGAACTCCTCTTCGCCGACGACTGCGGTGTATCCACAGCCACCGTGCACGAACTCCTCTTCGCCGACGACTGCGCCCTGAACACCACCTCAGAAGTGGAGATGCAACGGAGCATGGACCTATTCTCCGCCGCCTGCGAGAACTTTGGGCTGGTTATCAACACGCAGAAGACGGTGGTGATGCATCAGCCGCCTCCCAGCTCAGCCACAGCCCCCAACGCGCCGCAAATCAACGTGAATGGGACTCAACTGCAAGTGGTAGAGAACTTCCCGTACCTGGGCAGCACGCTCTCCCGCAACACCAAGATCGACGACGAAGTCGCCAACAGGATCTCGAAAGCCAGTCAAGTCTTCGGTCGTCTCCAAAGCACAGTTTAGAATCGTCATGGTCTCCAACTGAGCACAAAGCTGAAGATGTACAAGGCCGTCATCCTGCCGACGCTACTGTACGGAGCGGAGACCTGGACGGTGTACACGAGGCAGGCACGTCGACTAAACCACTTCCACCTCAGCTGTCTCCGCCGCATTCTGAGGCTGAACTGGCAGGACCGCATCCCCGACACCGAAGTGCTGGAACGGACGGGAATTCTGAGCATCTACTCCATGTTGAGACAAATGCAGCTGCGCTGGAGCGGCCATCTGGTGCGCATGGACGACGAGCGACTACCCAAACAACTCTTCTACGGAGACGTCGCGACGGGTTCTCGCCGTCAAGGAGGCCAAATTCGCCGTTACAAAGATACTCTGAAGTCCTCCCTGAAGCGCCTGCACATCAACCCGACCAACTGGGAAGAGCTCGCCCGCGATCGTCCGACATGGAGGAGAACAGTGAAGACGGGCGCTGCCATCTACGCAGCCAACCGCATCGCCGCCGCCAAAGTGAAACGCGAAGTCCGCAAATCACAACTTCGCCCAATACGCAACGCCGCCGCACAACCTCTCCCTACGTGTCCTCGATGTCAACGGACATTCCGGGCACGAATCGGACTTGTTGGACATTTTCGAACCAACTGCACCTCTCGAATTGCTCCAGCCATCGTCCCCGCCCCCGCCTCTTCCTCGTCCTCTCTTCCGCCAACTAACTCTGACACTCCTTCTGCACCACCACTTCCATCTTCCTCCTTCTCCTCCACTGCCCCAGCGGTGGCCGTTCATGCTGCCGTCTCACACATCGCCAACCATGACACAGCAACCGCAACCACCCCCACCTGCCCTCACTGCGACCGCACCTTCACCTCACACAACGGCCTGGTCGGTCACTTGCGAATCCATCGCACAGAGGCTGGTGAACCAGTGTCTGGAGCACCAACC